GATCTCAGTAGTGATTTTTTTCTAAATGAAAAGAAAACATTATTACATACTAAAATACTTTAGTATACATATAGGCACTGATGCACTCTAAACACTGATAAACAAGTATTTCTTTTAATAAAGGTATATGTACATATATACAGATCAACTCCTTACCTTTGCTTTGATGACAGTATATTACCGGCTGATATCAAATGCTCAGAACCAAATGGCATGCCACTTACATTGTAAACCAAAACAAATTTCTTAATACAACTGTCCTCATTCAAAATTTCCAAATATTTTGCGACTCTAGAACTTAATCAATAATGGATACTATCCTCCTATAGAAAAAAATCAATTAAGGAGGCTGGAGACACAGCTAAAATCAAAATATTAGAAGTGAAGACTTGAATATTCCAGATGAATAGACACTTATGTTCCAAGTGTCATCTTTTGGCAACTAATATCCTAATGATATCTTTAGGGCCCTATGCAATGAGAATTGGAAAATGTCCCATATGTTGCTGAATGTCGCTCTCATTTCGTTGCTTCTGCTTGATGGAAACAAAAACCCTAGCTTTCAGTTTGTCATCTATCCCTTCACTTTATTGAAAATATCTCTTCATTTGCCCTCACTAGTGTATGAACCAGTATACCCTGATGGTCACAAGTAAATCGTAATATTTTATTGTCTAAAAATTTAAAAAAGGCAAAATCAAATATCGAAGATACAGTCCTCTAAAGATTAGATATGGTTGCATGTATCTCATTACTTCCCAAAAATCCATAATTTTTTATGTCTTACTCATCATCACAAAAAGAGAATATACTCATAATATCAACAAAATATTTCCACTATTGATACTATATTTGAAGGATTACTCATCAAGTCACACATTCAGCAACATCCAAAAATAACGTCTTCATGACTTTGACAATCTTATTCTTATAACCTTACCGCTGGAGGTCGTCAGAGCAGTACAGCATTGGAAAGAGTTTTTCTTACCAGCAGTGGCCACCTTCTCTTTCCTAAGTAGCTAGTCCTGACAACTTTCGTAATACTACATCTAGGGTGGGATCACCACACACATGGCATCATATGTTGTTTTTTAAACTACTTCTATTATAAGTTTTTGTCATTTATAAAATGTTTTCTGATGTACCATCAGTTTATTGAGAGCCATACAAAACTTCTTTGTGACTAGGAGGAGGAGGAGGAGGAGGATGCAGGGGGTGAAGGTGGTAAATAGAGGGGGAGTGAGCCACTACGCACATCCACATGGAGCATCGCCTCTGATTTTTTTTTTTTTTTTTCAGCAATATACTTCAACCTTTATTTTCTATTAGTCTTAGACTGTCATTCATTCTCTTTGTTAACCATTATAATTATAGAAACACAGGGCACCTTGCACAAAAAAGCTCAAAACCAAAAAACTAAAATTTTATGATTTTTGTTACTATATGTACATAAACATCACCTAAATAATTTAGAAGCAAAGGCAACTCATTTGATGCAATACATTGATCAGGGATGATTTGTAGATAATATAAGATTTTCAGAATATGTTTATAATACATATTTTTCTTTATACCCACAGTGTCACCAGCCCCCTTAAGTCTATAAACAGCAACTAGTAGCTATGACCGCTGAGGAAAGGAGAGCAAATTAGGAATATGGAAAAAGCAGTCAGCAACCACTAACAGGATGAAAAAAGGGAAAGGGATTCAACCGCTGCTACCAGGAATGCAAAACTCATCAAGCCAAAGTAGAAGAAGAGCACTCTGGCCAGTAAGAAGAATGTATCAGGTAGAATAGACTTCAGTTCGTCCGAAGAACCCATGCATAGTATATACAACCCAGAGGCAAAAAGGTGAAAGGGAAACAATCTACAAACAGGATGTCTAACTTCTAATCTATTGTTATCTATAAATCACTCCACAGCTTTTCTCAACATTGACACAAATTAAAACAGTAATGTGAGTTGCTAAATATTTTGGGTATTGAAATTTACCAAGCATCGGCCAATTCATTATAGCTGTATTTACACTTGTACCTTGGAAGAAAAATTAGATCAACTGTTGTGTTCTTACCTCATTGCTCTCCTCACTCTCGATACTGTCTCGCACCATAAACTGGGACTTGAAGACTGGTCGAGCATGGGCAGTTGGGTGAACACTGGGTAAATTGACCTCGAAAGACTCGTCACCATCATGGTAGTGCTCTTTCTCAGTACAGTGGAGGTTCATAACATCCTGTCTGTCAAGCCAAGGCTGAACCATCACAATGGCTTCGCAGATCTGTAATTTGGAAAACCGTCTTAGTAGTATTATCCCACTCGACAACAATTACCATTACCTGTTAAAGTACGGTATATCATGCAATCATCACCATTTCAATATTCCTTTGCTTCTTGATGATGGTAATCCACAAACAAATTAGATACTGTATAAAAGCTTACCATGTGATCTTCACCAATATCAGGGGCACAGCGAGCCTTGTTGATACGCCTCTTATACTTGGGGCAGATTGTCTCCACCAGCTCAACCATCACGTGGTACCTCACACCTGATGTCACCTGGAGAGAGAAGTTCCAACAAAACCTTTCAGCCACTTTCATCATCCACAGAACATTATAGGACAGGTTATTTTTTATGAACATAATCATTCCATGAAGAATTTTTCCAATACAAATAATCTCCATCTCAAAGTTTTTAAAAAAATTCATATACATTGTATAGAACAGTATTTCAATTACTCAAGAAACACAAAAAGTAATTAACCACACTTGTCATTACCTGCTTGCGTGCTTTGAGTGCCTTCTGGAAAATGAACAGATTGTCCTCGTCTGACCTAAAATCAAACTCATCCGCAATCTTAATTCCCAGTTTTTTGAGGCTCCTATCATTCACATCCATCTCAATCCACTGTCCACCTGGAGCACCTGCAAAAGAGTAAGCATTAGTATCACAATATAATGAATAGCTACCTCAATAACAACATAAATGACCTGTCAATAAATATATATGTTAATTGAAAAGATAAAAACAGAAAAAAGGAAATATGAAAGATAAGGCAAGAGGTATAATAAACATGGTTCATTTTTTCTTGTGATGGTTATCCAGTTTACAGGTTGTGATACACTCACCTGTTCTAAATGTTGAAGGATCAGCACCACTCTTCTGGAAAATCTTTCCTGTAAGAGACACATAATGTCTTACAACCATGTCTGCTGTCTTTGCCAATATATTTTTTCCTAATATTTCTATTGACAGTTTTGCATAAAATATATCAGGGAAATGAAATCCCACTACATAACTTCAAAATTCCTCATATTTCCATTCAAATATGAATTCAACCTCTCTAAAAAACAACTAATATATATATATATATATATATATATATATATATATATATATATATATATATATATATATATATATATATATATATATATATATATATATATATATATATATCCTAAAATTTTCAGTCTACAAGCAATTTACAAAATAAATTCAAAATAAATTACAAAGTAAATTCTTAAATAATGATAATACCTCTGATTTTGTTGAGATAGTAGTCATCTCGCTCATCACAATACAATTTTGTGAGCTGTTTTGCCTGACCAGGAGCTGAGGGCATCATGACCTCAGCCTGGCAGATCTCCCTCTCTTCACCGTGGTCAAGCACACAGCGGCTCGGGTCAGCAATAGGCAAGTACTTCTTGCAATGGGTCTCAGCCAATTCAACTTCCAGAAGGTATGTGATTCCCTGTGCCTGCTGCAGAGAGAGTAAGCAAAACTTAGATATAAGAAGTTCTTTTTAAAACTATAATGGTATACATCATGTGTGAACAATTATTACATAACAGGGTACATACTTATTAGTTCAAGTCATCTCTAAGTTATAATAGCTAGTTTAACATATCAGTTACTTAACTCCAAGTTTCAACTATAAGTTTATATGAATAAAAAAAAATAGATGGTATATTTTCTATCTTTCAAAGAACAAATATTCCTAAATGAACAGCAAGAGATCAGACACTTTTTTCACCCTCACTATGGCACTAATGTCAACTTCATATGTCCAACAACCCAAGAGAAAACATGCTCCATGAACATTTTTGTAGCTACATACCTGCATGTTTGCACTGACAACATTAGTCAGTACATAAAGTTCATCCTCATCCCCACGAAGGTTATACTGTTCAACAACAAAGGCAGCAGCTTCATGCACCTTTGAGTCATTGAGGGCCACAGGCTGAGCTCCAGGAATGTTTGTTCTACCTTGTGGGAGGTTCAAGAATGGATGATCCATCAGGTCAACTGAGCTCAGGGTTGGCATCAGCGTCTGCAAAGCATAAAAGGAATGAAGACCTATACCTAGCAGTTCTAGCCAAGAATTAAATCTAAATGATAATAGTTATCACACTAATATAAGCTTAGCTACTTCGTAAAGAACTAAAGAGAAAGGAAAAGGGTCAAGTACTGGAAGTACTAGGAGGATGATACAATGTTATCTGATGTGACTTCCAGACAACCTAGTTCATAACACATGTCATTACTTGAGCAAGTCACAGTATGCTTCTGAATCCTCAATTAATATTCTTAGAGAGCTTTACACAGAGAATGAATAATCCAATATCTCTTCTGATCATGGATATCTGTTCTCAGGTAAATACACAAAAATCCATAGTGGATTTTCCTCTACGTACCTCCCTCAAGTAGTCATCTAAATCATCACAGGCAAAGGATACCAGCCTCTGGTTCCCAGGTGCTGGAGCCCCTGCTTGGACAAGCACTTCAGCTTTGCACACCTGCAAATATAGATTATGTCAGTAAATAGTTTTCGTGCCATTTATCAATTTATCAGTGCACTAATAAATTGCTGTCTTGGTCTCTTATCAAATCAGCACACTTACATGACAAAACAATAGAAAATCATATAAACTTTTCTTTAGGAAGCCCAAACATCTTACCTCATGATCTTCTGAGGGATTAATGATACAGTGTTCTCCATTGCCTAGCGTCGGGTCCAGCTTGTGGCAGTTGGTCTCAGCCAACTCAACTACCACACGATACATAGTTCCTCCCACATTCTGAAAAGTGCAACCAATTTAGTGAATATAATAGCATCTCTGTCTGAAATAGCAAAAACATAGTCACATAAAATGGAAAATGGATTATTGTAAGTAGACTAACCTGTGAAGATGCCTCGTGGAGCTTGACAAATTTGTAATACTCATCATCATCTTCTCGTCTGTTGTATTCTGCCACAACCAATCTGGCGATCTCAAGTGTTTGCGGATTGATTTCTAATGGTTTCTGACCACTGTGTGTTGGTGGACTTGTCCTGAATGTAGTGCCTACAGAGGGTGATGCACCAAGACCTGTTCCCAGTGCCACAGGAACAATGAACTCATCTTGGGTGGAAGTTGGGTAGTCATCTTTATCATAACACCTGAGGGAAAGACATTTAATTATGCACAGAATTTTTAACATTAGTCTACAATCAATAAACATAAACATTAAATGGATAGGCTAAATACAGATAAGCTGTTTAAGGTGTTTTTTTCATCACAGGTACTTACTGTGAGGCTACAAGGTCACGTGAGGGAACCCATGGTTGATCTACCACGTGGAGATCACAAATCTCTGTCTCCTCAGTTACATCTTGAGGGCAGAAAGTGCGGTTCACATCAACACCAGTCAGCTGTTTCTTGCAATGTGTCTCAGCAAGCTCAATGGTAAGATAGTACTTCACACCAGCTACCACCTGGAGGTAATATATAGCAATAAATAACACTAGCATAATCTATTAGAAAAAAAACAGTGATTACAAAATCAAAAATATTAAACAAATGACAGAAAAAATCAAATATTAATTAAAACATAAAAACAAATATCTGACTAGCTCTTTATGTACCTATTACAAGAAACACAATGAAGAATGAAGAATGATTAATCTAATCTTACCTGAGTCTGGGCCTTGACAAGTCTAAGAATCATGTGCAGTTCATCCTCATTTGAGGCTCTGTCATATTCCTTCAAAGCAAAGTCTGCAATCTCCAAAATGGTTGGGTCATTGAGAGGAGCAGCTTGAGGACAACCCAGGCATGGAGCACGTACAGGCACTACCAATTCTTCATCAACACTCCGCTGGAAGATTAACAGAATTAAATTTCACCAAAACACAATAAACACTACTCATTTTTTCATTCTAAAGTTATATAACTTCTCTCAATAAAATAACTACAAAGCCCAAGAACAGCTGAACCCTTACCCTTCTCTCACACTTGATGTCGTCATCATCCTCAACAACAGGAACAACATCGAGACTGGCAATCTGGTTAGGATTGTGAACAACAGTCACCGAGCATACATAGTGGTCACGGTGGTTGTCGCGTGGGCAAACCCTGGGGTCAGTCTTTTCATCAGGAGACCTCAGGCAAAGGTTGAAACCATACTCTACATTCACCTGCACCTGGGTCATATTTAGCACTGGATCGAACTGAAAAGGAAAGGAGATCTCAGTAATCGAACTGGTTTATGGTTTTATTCTGACTTAGTGTTTAACCCCTTGCCAGTAGGTCGAAACCATACTCTACATTCACCTGCACCTGGGTCATATTAAGCACTGGATCGAACTGAAAAGGAAAGGAGATCTCAGTACATCCGCAGTCCATTGTGGTTTTGTTTCGCTGACTTTCTTGACATATAAATGACATCAAGAGAATTTAGTCACCAAGTTCCTGGCCCTAGCTGATCTCCTCTGCTTACTACATTTCTATAATTTTGGGGGAATAAGTTCTTACTTCCATTACTATCATTATAGTTATTAACATTATCATTTGCAGTAGTAGTAGTGTCCTTATTGACAATAATAAGTGCAACAAAAATATAAGGAAATGGGTAAACATGTGACGATGGGCAGTCCTTATGTTTAATGCCTTGATGAATAAGCTCTCATACATCTATAATTAGGAATACAAACCATGGGTTGCTTTTTCTGATGCCACAAATTTATAAAGTCAAGTTTGTTCAGTTTATATTCTGTCCCATCAGAGCAATATTACAAGCAAAAATTATATCTGTAATCATTTATCAAACTTAGCGAATTAATCATCTATGATATGAGTATTCCAAGTTTCACCACAGGCAAGAGGATAAAACCTATAACTACCGAAACTTACCAAGATCCTTCCGATATCATAGCTGACCAGTTCTCCCCTAAACTTGGAATCTGAGCCTCTGTCCACGTAGTTAAATGCCTCAAGACCCAGCTGCTGTTCACTGATGCCCTGGGGGAGAGTCTGGACAGGGACCTCAGCACCAGTGGGCTGCGGGGGATTGATGATTCCCCAGACGTTGAAATCGTTATCATCTTCTGTTTCAGCACACCTGTGGACGGAACATACCATCTGAATGAACTTACTCAAAACACTGCAAGTTATACAAGTACAATATAGAATCTACCCAACTCAATGAATAAAGATGAAATTTATTCTATTTTGTAAC